TTTTCAATGAAAACTTTCGGGGTAATACCGGGTAATATTGTCATATTTCAACATATTAACATGAAACAGTAATTGACTATATACATACATCTTTCTTCTAAATTACTCCATCCATTGATGAAAACTGTAAGAAAATCCGTTATATTTTGAGTGTATCGCTTTCAGGCAGACAGACAGCCAACTCCATTTCATATGATGTATTGAAAAGAGATCTTGTGGATATTCAATGTTGGCGGTATCTTGAAGTTTTCCGGACAAATGTAGTACTCAAGTAACACTTTATTGTGAGATTCTCATCGAATAATTTACAAAACTGCAACACGTGTTTTATTATACAATAGTTTCTTCAAATGTGTTCATACTGGCTGAAATCTACCTATTTATGGCAAGCGCCAAACGTGATGGCGAGCACGCCTCCATGCGCACAAACTCATTTTTAATGCAACACCCACTACAGCTCTTGCAAGACATACAAATGCTATGTACTTTGTGTTGTTTCTGAAAAAAAATGTCATCGCCTATTTTTGAATAAGTGTATCATTATATAATATTTCAATGAACTGTACTACTACCTATAGTATAATACTGAATGAAATATGAAAAGAAATTACAAAGAGTCATGTTCCATTTGCTACCCTAATTAAAACTAATTATAGGTACGACACTCGCCGGTAATCCAATAGTAATTCAGTTGGGAGAGTCCATATCTGTGCGAACGCTCGCCATCACGTTTGGCGCTTGCTGTGGGTGTTTCTATGAATCAACAATTTGAATATATGACTTTCTACGTACCTCATGTTCGTTAAATTCATCTTTTACATATAAATTGAGTACAAATTAGGAAATAAATTTTATATACAAACTCTTTCAAGTGGATATGTATATTTCAATATTAGAGAACAAATATAATGAAGGGGATTTATTCGATTCTATTTGGTCACCTTTTAAATGTTTGGAATTCTTAAAGTGGGCTTTCACCTAACAGATTCGCTTGCGACTAGTTTCGTTTTTATAATGGGTGGCAATTTTTGTACAATAATATCTTTCGTGCGAAAAAAAAAGAAAGCGAAAAAATCAATAAATTATGAAACGGATAAAATTAGGGCAGATTTAATAAATGATGACATAGGAATGAATAAAACTGAGATCATCGTTTCGAATTGGAGAACTTGTTAAATGTACTGGGACCAAATATTTTCAAACATAATACAAATTACAGACACGTTATATCTGCCTAGTTGCTTGCCGTTGTCACCAACCGTTTCCAAATAGCAAAGTCTGTTCGCAAAAACACAAGCAAAATACTGAAACCTTTTGATCTTTCCGCCTGCCGGCGGGAAATTTCGTTATTGACAGAAAAAGTCGTCTGCGACACAAAGTTTTCAAAATGTTTTTTATTTTGGCAATTCAAGTTTTTGTTTTGTCCCTGTGGTGGAAATCCGCCCTCAAGTCTATTTATTCAAGCATCGGAAACCAGTTAGCGCCCTTTCACACGGGGAGCTTCACGTCTCTCACTCCCGAGAGAGAGGAAGGCTCTTAGCGCCAAAATGCAACGGGTCCAATGAAGCATTCAGACGAAGGACCGGAGCCGTCACGTCTCGGAAGACGAGAGCTATCACGTCTCCTGCACCTCGAGCCGGGTGGCCACGTTTCCTCCTCAAAATGCAGAAGGATGAGTGGGGGCTTCCATACGAGGAGTGAAAACGGTTCTTCCTAGTTGACGCTTCACACTATTTATCATGGCAGATTACGATGGGGAGCTGTTAATTAGTGCTGTTTGCAATCAACCCACTCTTTGGGATAAAAGTCTCGACATTTATAAAGGTGCGTACAAACTAGAGCATTCAGCCCGAATGAGCATGCCGAGGCAGAACGAATGTTCGTGCGGCCAACTTTGAACGACGCACAGAACAGGTGCGGAAGAGAGCACCCGCGCCGCATGAGGCAGCATTTGCCCCATTTGTAGCCGCTCACAGTGTGCTCAGTCTGTTTGCTCCTGGAGAGAAAATGGATCCATTGGGAAAAGCTAGTGCTTCGTTTATTATTTCACTCAGTATATTAACGAAGAAACGACATAAACGTCGACGATGGTCATCGCAACTGTTTTTGAACAGAAGTCGTCATAGTACCCTAAACAATACGTTATTGCTGGACGATTTATCAGGTGAAAGAAAACATTTTCAGAACTTTACAGGAATGGCAGAAAATGACTTTAGATTTATTTTGGACAAGATTAAAAGCAAAATTGAAAAAAAAGGATACACACTTGAGGCGATGTATTAGTGCAGAAGAGCGATTGGCAGTGACTTTATATTTCCTTGCAACAGGGAATTCATACACTAGTTTGCAATATTTATTTGAGATTTCTAAACAGCTCATCTCAGAAATAGAGGCCGAAGTTTGTCAGGCTATAGTTGATTGTTTCAGAGGACACATAAAGGTAAGTAAAACCAAAAGTTAATTATTCATGTAAAGCAACGCATTGTAACTAAACTTCAAAAGAATTATATCTGACCCTTGGGAATAATCGAAATATGCCTCAGAAACCATTGGATTTTCGGCAACTTTCCTGCGTTTAATGACACATTTTTTGGGAGACTTATATGCTTTCTTTGGGGTATTTTGGTGTGTGGTTTCAGTATCAATTACTGGTGTGGATTCAAGCTCGCTGATATTTTCTGACTGTGTGTTGTCTAGATCGTCACTGATACTTTCTTCTTCCTCAATCTCGTTTCCCTCAGAAGCTGTTGCTAAACTCTGAAAAACAAAAAAAATTATGGAAGCGACAGAAAAAAAAATGCTTTAGAAATACAATACACACAAACAATATACCTAACAAGTTTTTTAATTTTTTTTCTTTTGTTGTAGTTTCCATCTTCACCAGCAGAATGGGAAGAAATCGCTCAACAATTCGAGGACAAATGGATTTCCCAAATTGTTTAGGCGCCATTGATGGCAAGCACGTAGTACTACAAGCCCCTATAAAGAGCGGCAGCGTTTTTTTTAATTATAAATCACAGTTCAGTATCGTGCTAATGGCCATTGTAGATGCCGATTACAATTTTATCTATGTTGATATTGGCTGTCAGGGACGTGTCACTGATGGAGGAGTATTTCAAAATTTTGAACTATATCAAAGACTAATGAACAATGCCTTGAATTTTTCTGCTCATCGAGCACTTTTTGGAAGGAGAAATGAAGTTCCGTACGTATTTGTGGGTGATGCCGCTTTTCCGCTAACGGAAAACTTAATGAAACCTTACCAAGGAACATACGTCAGAGGATCGCCAGAAAGAATATTCAATTACCGACTAAGCAGATCAAGACGGATAGTCGAAAATGCCTTCGGTATCATGTCCAGTGTGTTTCGAATTTTACGCAAACCGATGGTTTTAGAAGCAGACAAAGCAACATTAATTGTAATGACTGTGGCTTGCCTGTACAATTTTTTGGGTAGAAGTAAATTGTCTAGAGAAATATACACTCCTGTTGAAGCTTTAGATAGAGAAATGGAAGGAAGCACACTTTCTGGAACTTGGCGGAACGACAGAGATGAAAGAACATCCCTTTTACCTCTTAGAAATGTACCCCGAAGATATACCTGCAATGCTAAGGCTATAAGGGACGAATTTAGAGATTACTTCATAACATCAGGGGTAGTACCTTGGCAAGAAAAATATGCATAACCAGATAAAGTACACGTATGAACACAATATACGAATACCTACTTATTTATTTATTTGTTAACATACCGCATTATATTTTATTTACATTAAATTGTACTTACGTCTGTTGTTGTCCTTGGTTCATTTTCGTCTAGGAATTTGAGGGCTTTGAATGCAAACCACTTAGACTTGTATATGTCATCAGTACCTAGAGAGTGCGTGATTAATCCTATATACTAACAAGATAGAATCAAAATACCTTTTCCACTACCCAAGGAGTTTTTAACTCCTGCCTTTTCCCGTCTGTACGAACCCTTTAAACTATCAACCTTTTTTTGTACTTCATTTACGTCTCTAACGAGTACCGCTGCAATTTCAGCCCAAGCGTCCTCCTTTTTTATTCTATTGAAATATGTTTGTGTTTGGCTTGCCATAACATCGGCCGTGATTGATATTCTTTAATTAGACCTAAAACTTCTTCTTGCGACCACTCCATGTTTTTTACTGTAGGTATGCAACGCAATGCACAACGCATACCCGTCCACACTGAGCCATACGAGTGTTGCCTCGCTTTGATGGACCGACAACTTTTGGATCGGGTTGAGCACATGTGTCGCACAGCCTGAGCATGCTTCGTGCGGTGCGTGCCTCCGTCCACATTTGAATGCTCGTTCTGCCTCGGCATGCTCATTCGGGCCGAATGCTCTATTCTGTACGCACCTTAAGGACCGAAATGAAGTCGTAAAAAGTTGCGTTGAAGTCTGCAAGGTGTTCAACGTAGATTTTGCAACTTTATCCATTCTATTCCTGATCGTTGACGTTTCTGTCGTCGAGGTTTACGTCGACGGTAGAGAAGGAATATGGCAATAGCTCGCTTGCGATCCATTCCACGACGGAACTCAAGGCGCCAGGAGCTAAAAAGAATCCCGGTGTGAATGAGGGTAGGAATGATAAACGCTCCCTTATAGAAATAAGACGTGAAGCTACCCGTGTGAAAGAGTCCTTAGACAGTTGGGTGAATTTATCAATTCCATTCATCTGTCAATTACATTCGCCACTGAAATCGAGATGAATAATTCAATAAATTTGTTAGATTTTGATATTACTAAGCCATATTTTTTCCAACCCCCTTTTTATTGTATATCAACGACTTATTGGGAAAAAAACAAGAATTCAATATATAGCTTTGCTGACAACAGCACACTTGTCTTGTTTGTTGAAACAAATGGATGAAAACTCTTTGTTCTCATTTTCAGGTATTTCGTGAAAAATATAAGTTGCATATTGTCAGTTGGAGCAACTTGTGATATGTGAAAATTAACAATTAAAACCACAAACATTTCACATTTCAATATATTTTCAATAAATGATGACAAACTGCAGAGGAAATATTTAGATGTCTTTCAAAGATAATAAATTCAATAAATATTCAAAGGCAAAATCTGGGGCTATTTCGATACTCTGTTTTTTAGGTATGTTAGTTGCTTGTGTCACTTATTATACTAAAAGGGAAGGTCATTGATTTTACTCTATTATTTTTTGAAAACATACTTTTTAGAATCATAAGTGATCCTTCATGTGGTTGCGAAATAATAATCAAGGTTTTCAATAATAAATACACATTGTTTCCCAAACATGACTGTGGACAAATTTATCATGAATGAACTTCCCTGAATACGTAAATACAGGTTTGTAGAAAGATAATCTACACTACAATCTAAAAAAACTCGTACCTATACATAATTTTTACAACAATTTACGACACTGTTGACAATACTGACAGATCTATGATTATTAGTATCTCTTCACTATTTGTAGTTGCAGCTAACATTCTCCTGGCTTAACTTCGGCGTAAACTGAAAAAAAAACAAAAGAAAAATTAGATGGTTGTTCTAAAGGTAGTTCAAATTCATTTAAATAATCGAAAAACTTTTGAAATGATTTTGTGAAAATTATTTTTCGGTTTTTTTTCTTGGCTGTGGTCTGCAGGTTTTATGCCTGATGTTTCTTCTACTACTGCGGAAGGAATTATCAAAACTGATATGGTTACGGTTGCAGTGCCCAGGTTGCTGCTCAAGTTGTTGTTCCCGCTGTTCCCAACAAAGAAACTACGTTGCTGATATTTGACTCTGGTTTTATATTATTATTGGTGGGCGTGACTTGGTTTCCTCAATTGGATTACCTGACCTTGTTCGTGTACAATTAGAGACAGGTAGCCAGATTTTATTAATGTTCATTGCCTTTTCTTTTCTATTGAAATCATCCCTGTGTTTTTGAATTTCTATTGGCTCTGTATATATTTTTGGATAGTGATTTTGAGTTTAAACGAGTATTAATGTATCTTCGAATGAGATAATGTGTGTGTCTTTTTTTGAGGTTCCTCAGAACCTTTAAGTTAGGTTAGGTTACCACATTGCCTTTGATGATGTCTACCGCACTAGTAGACGAAACGTCGGGCATGAAAACCTGCAAGCGACGGCTAAAAAAACCAGGAAAATAACTTTCACACTGTTTTTTTGGACCGTGAAAGTTTACATTCTTTATGATCTGATTGTTTTGTGAGCTTGATATATTTCTTCAACTGAGTCCAGTCTTAACATTGGTGTCTTAGAGCTTACATATAGAATGTGTAAATGTCTAGATTGCAACAACAAAAAGGATCATTCCGTAGGTAGATAGAATGTTTATATCTGTCCATGTTGGATTCCGTACACTTATGAGCATTAGTTACCTATTGATAAGAAATTTTCCTCTTCAACTTTATAGTCTAGGTTAGATTATTGGTTATGTGGTGGAGTCGGCCGATATTTGAAAGTTCATAACGTATTCAAAAAACAATAAAGTGTTCCTTGAATAGATTATTGGTTAGTTTACTTTTATTAATAAAGTAAATAAAGTAGAGTTTCGTGGTGATAGTGTACGGACGTATTGATAACGTCCGCCTACAAAGAAGGTACGCGGATGTCATGTGCTATCGTGGGGCTCCGTTTTGTGTTAGTCCATTGTGGTAATTACTGAAATGTGTGTGAGTCTTTTAGAAAGTGAAGAATGAGGGGATTCTTTGATTCACACCGGTATCCAGACCGAGGTGGTTCGGATAACCACGTAAAGGGGGCTGAATATGTGGAAAAAAACCAAAAGGTCTCCCGAGCAGGAGCCAACTTAATAAACACTCAAATTGTTTTTATGATAAAAAAAGTTCGACAAAAAATGGGTGGCAACATTGCTTCAAGCAAGACCGCTGCGCCCCCCGAAGAAGCTCCTGTCAACATTGATAGGAGCCTGGCCAAATATGCCCGAGTGGAAAGCAATGAACACTAATATGAGAGAAAGAGAGAGAGAGAAAATAATTTAAGGAAAATGTAGTCCGTCAAAACTGTACACAATCGAAATTTTTTGAATTCGGGCATATACGCCTTTTATATTCGTATGCAAACGAAAGTTTTATTGTGTTTACGAATTCTAGATGTATGCANCATTTCAGCGTTAGTAAAGTTATTGGTGATGGAATCACCGCTAATTGACAACTCTGACTTCCACTGATATGACAACACATCACTGTCAGCTGGTCTCCAAAGCAGGTATTCATGATATGCAAAGTGGTTTCAATTAATTTTTTTTAGAAAACGAAGCTAGATATGAAAACACAAGCGACAAGAAAGTAGTATATTCAGTTAATTAATCTGAAAAGAAACTTCAACAAAGTCAGTGGCGTAATGTTTTTACCAATATTGTTGGCTGTGGTGCTCATTTGGACTCCACTGGATCTGATAATAATTTCAATCTTATTAAATAAACGCCTCAATAAATAAACGCCTCATTACTTCAAATAACTGTAGATAAAATTCAACCAAATCGGTGTAAGGAAATTTATGATATTTTATAAATAGCTTGTTTTAACTTCAAGGCCCTGTATCTCAGAAACGAAGTCACTCCGGACATATGTTCATGAAAACCTTAACGACTTAACGTTTCTTATCGTAGTTAGGAAACACCCTGTATAGAGACTTATAGAGGCAAATAAGGAGAAGGAATTAACGGAGATATTTTCAAAAAATATAAAAATAAAATATCAATTATGACATTATCGATCGGTAAATAAATATTATTCAGAGATAACATCGATACTTGACTTGAAAATATAGTTGCAAACATCGAAATAAAAAAATAGAACATCATTTATTCAATGGCATTTGTTTTGTTTGTATATATAATCATCTCAAAATATTTGAACACATAGGTAAACAAAATGTTACTGTTATTCATACATATGCGAACAATTATTATTTTAGTTAGAATATACAGTGCATTCCATTTAAAACGAGCCACCCTGAATAACTTTTGACACAAGATTTTCAGGAAAAATGAAAAATCACGTCCACAATAGTATACAGGGAGAAATTTTTTGACATATAACTGCAGTACAAATAGCTTCATCGTTGACAATTCCTGAACGGTTATGCTTTTTATTGTTAACAGATCCAGTTTCCATAAATTTGGTCAATAATTCCGAAACGTATTTGTGTCGTACATTTCTTCCTGGATGATTAACATTGACCGTATGGGCAGCAGCTCTAACACTATTTTTATTATGGTAGTACAAACTCACTATTTCAAATCCGTTCTCGAAGCGTATAGTATAAATCATTGCTTCTCAGGAATTCACAAAAACAGAAACACTAATTGTTACTTCACTTGGTAGGTAATCGTTATTGTAATAAGAGACAAATACAAAATGAAGAGAATATCGAATTCGAACTTAACTAGGCAAAATAAGACTTTTTTGAAGTATACTTCATAAAAACACATATAACATTTAGATAACAGATTATACAAAAGTTCATTCAGGGTGGCTCTTTTTCAACTCAAATAATTTTTAGCTTCCAAACTATGAGCTCCAGACAATAATGCATTCTACTTTGTTGAAATCTGTTCATCATGGAACATCTGATAATGCAAAACAATTGATTCATTTGAAAAAAAATGGGGACATGCTCTAGGGGTGCGATAAGGAACGTTATATTAAATGTGAATATGTCAAAATGTGTCTCCCTATACAGGGTGAACTACAGAGATACATCGTCATAAATGCGAACTGGATTTATTGTTATTTTGTAGTAAGTACCTGCATTAAACGATTGAAGGGTAATAAACAAAACTAATTTATTAATGACAAAACACATAACATGTAGAAATCATAGTAAATGTTCAATATGTCTACCTTCAAACATCACGCATGCGTCTAGACGTCGGCGCATTGAGCCAAGTATTCGCTCAAATATTCCTGGAGTCTCTCTGATTACCCTGCACCTTGCACGCATCGATGATGCGGTTTCTTACATCCCGAACAGGAGTACGATAAACCGAGAGAAATCGAGAAATCGAGAGGATTGAGATCCGGGGATCGTGCGGGCCAGTTCTGTGTTCCTCCTCGACCTATCCACTGATTTGCATATGTTTCAGTTGAATGCTGACGTGCTACTTGACTAAAACGGGCGGGAGCCCCATCGTGCATAAAAACATATTCCTTCTGACGCCCAAAGGAACTTCCTCCAGCAGTACTGGATGCACTTCTCTTAAAAATTGAACGTATGCCTCACCATTTAATCGAGGAGGTAGAAAATGAGGCCCAATTAAATCATTCCCAATAACTCCGAGCTATTCGTTATAAAAATATAAGTATAAGAGTTTCTCCTTTAAATTCGAAATACCGTCATATGATCAACATTTAGCTGGAAAGCAATTTTTCTAGTACCTACTGGTAGTAGGTACTACAAGTACTGCTTCCTCAAGCTGTGGTGTTCGTACTTCTCGATGGCGACCACAATCCTGCGTTCTTTTGTCGAATGAATCATATTCTCGTAATCGTTGATGAAGTCGATCAAATATTCTTTGTGAAGGATGCTGCCGTTAAGGATACATTTCAGCATATCTTCTAGAAGCTTCTAACCCATTCCCCTGCGATAGACCATAAACGTAATGCATATCATCCATTTCCTCATTTGGGTATGACATTTTAATATCAAGTGAATTATTGAAGTAACAAATCAAGAACAGAACAACACACAATTAGTATTAATTCAATTTCGAAAATTCACAAACTAACAGAGTCATACCAATTTAATTGTCACTATCGCTAATAGCGACCTACTAGATAAATTAGTTTCGTATTTTCGCATTTATGACGATGTATCTCTGTAGTTATTCCTGAAATAATTTTTTACTAGTTTATTTTGGGCAAAAAACCCAATAGACATTTTTTGTTTAGAATGAAACAGGCTATCGGAAATACATTTTGAAATGGTAAACAAATAATAAAACAAAAAACATTTTAGGGGTTGCATTTTCCACGCCTTACAACCATGGGGTGAAACAAATGAATTTCTGGCTGAGTGTCTTTTTGGTATTACAAAACGTCAGGTTAATTTCAATATTGTAATTTTTTTAGTGCTTGTGAAAAAAATTGTTTACAAATTTTATGTACCCCTTTTAAGGGGCTGTATCTTAACAAGGTATGCTCCAATGGAATTTCTCTATATGAAAGATCCTATCTCTTTTTCGGTGAGGAATCACCTCCTCAAATGTTTCACACTTATTTAGTTACACCCTGTATACTATTGTTGACATGTTTTTTTATTGTTCCTGAAAATCATTGCTCCAAAAGTAATTCAGGGTGACTCGTTTTCAACTCAAATAATTTGTAGCTCCCAAACCATAAGCTTCAGACGATATGTTTTATACTTTGTTGAAATCTGCTCATCATGGAGTATCTGATAATGTAAAACCATCAAATGTGAATATGTCAAAATGTGTCCCCTTGAATTCTATGTTTGACGTGTTTTTTTATTTTTCCTGAAAATCATTGTACCAAAGTTATTCATGGTGGCTCGTTTCGAATGAAATGTCCTGTATAATCCAATAATAACTTATTAGCTTTTATACTGAAGCAAACAATGAGCATGTGTTGCATTTGAAAACTTTGTAACGTGTTCTGGGATCTTCAAACGAAAAAAATCCTTCATAGTCCATTTCTGTTGTTTCGAATGGAAATGATGGAGTTATGCTACCTTTTGGTAATCGTCCCAATGTGTTGTAATCTGAAACAAGTAACACACTCTGTGTATGTTTTCTTATCGAAGATAGCAACAACTGTGGGCTTGCATTCACCAATAACCCGACTGAATATTAACCTTGTGAGATTATGTTTGCAACATAGCGAAAATTTGTATTTTTTTATTTTCATCAAATTTTGATAGCTGTAGACGCCACTCTCGGTAAACGAATCTTATCGATAAGAGGTGTGAGACAAAATAATTTATCAACTTAATTTGAATTACCGTCATTCATTGAAGTTTAGACTATTTATCGACCTTAATATTTAATAGTGGGATGTTTGACGTTGTTAACAAATCGTCAGCATCGTACCATAATGCGTGGAATTTCGTTAGACTTGAGTATAGCAATGATAACAATTTTTATCAATGGAGTGCATTTCCGGAATTTTTTCCTGTGGTAGTTAGAACTGTGGGTAATACCAATCTTGCAAACGGTATAAATGTTTGAAATGACAAAATTATTCATCAGGATCGAAATCAGCTGGTCGGCACACACAAATATTTGCAAAACATTTCAGGGTGTATTTTATTTTAGAGAAAGTTGAAGGGCTGGTTGCCTTAAACAATCAACTGTCAAATAAGGAGCAGATTCTGTGCAAAAATCAAATTTGGAATGCAATTCATTGCAATGGTCTATGTTCAACATTTTTGATGATATGACGATACAGTTCGGAGATGTCAGATGATAAAGTATATGTCTTTGTAAAGAAATGAACTTTAAATGTTCAAGTCAGTCTCGGATATACCTACACAATAGGTTGAATGGACTGACGCCTATCAGAAAACAACTACTCTACTGGCTAATACCACGAACGGCATTGGATTATATCCGGCAAGCGTCAGTGCAGGAATCTTCACAGAAAACTTCCTGCATATGCAATTGGCAATACAACTGAAAGAGTCGACCATCAATTTTGGAACGGACACACTTCCAGACGGTTTTGGGCTCCTTTGCCACTCGCCAGTGCAAGATACTGACCGTCATCGACCTAAAGTCAATGATATTCCATAATTNGCATTCAGCCAATCTTTGGATAGCTAAATAAGAAAATTGATATACATATTATAGTAGTAACTAATCCCTAGGCTTTCATTTTTTCGAAAGTTGGGAAATTTTGCTGGTGGGGTTGGGAAAATTTTTTGGATTTCCTCCCCACACTAGTTTTTCTTTCCTATACGGCCCTGCGTTGTTATGATGGTTGTTCTAATGCCTCTCTATTCTCGAATCTCAGAATCATTCTGGCTTGGTATGACGGAAATCTTGGCCAGGCACATCAGAAGGCTGTCAGTATTGGCTCGTAGCATCTTCTTAGGACACATGATTCAAGAATCCAATGACCAACTACCCCACGGTGTGAGGAGTGCTTATTGAAAAATGCATGAGGATCATCATATAATAATGAGAAGGAAAATAAATGAAATATCGTACTCCGCAGGCTCTATCCATACCAGTCTGATAAAATTATTGTTCTGGTTATTGAGTCCTTGGTGAAAGTATGCTCTGTCCACTCTCGAATCTCAAGATTACGTTGGTTCGCCACACTATGGTAGAACTCTTGGACGGACAAAAGCAAGGTTGTCATTTTCAGCCAGCTATGAGCTGAAGCGTGTGCTCAGGGTTCGAATTCTCGGAGCTGATACCTGTCAAAAGTATCCGACCCCACCACCGCGAATTTCAAGGAGAGTATAATAATAATGAATGATAACGATTCGAAAATTATGGAGAGGATGTGCATCTGGATGCCGGAGACACCTTCACTCACCTTGACGAGGAACGCCGCTCCCAAATAAAGAACTCACTCCGCGGCAAGTAATAGCACAAAATCTGACGGATCTGGTCATTTGAACTGTTGAAGCAGAACAAAGTTGCTGCTGCAGTTGCTGCTGTTCCGAACCTAATCTACTGTTTTGAAGGAGTCAGGCAGGCTACTAACAGAATTGTTTTATATAGAGCCTCTAAAGTCATCAGAAGTTCGGAACCTCTTTTCTCCCTGGTGCGTGACCACGAAAAGGCAGTGGTCAGAACGAGGTAACCAGAATCCATTCAAGAAAGGCCTACATAAAAGCCACAAAAATAATTTCACTCCTGCAGTTACACAAGTATAAACGGATGCACGGGTCTTCTTTAACAACATGGAAGACCTCGGCTCATCAAAGCACCTGATCTTTGCTTTCCTCAGGGCAAGTGCGCCTAATTCGAAAACGGAGAGGTTCATCATGTCTTGTCAGAATGGATATAAAGGTCGCTTACACCAGGTACAGTGTTAGCCACGAGTCGTCTGAGAACCTTATTGATATGCGGCCGGAATTTTCCCCATATGCGATTTCAGCCTATATAATGGGGCTCTAGGAGTGCTAATGAATCATTATCTTTGACGTTTCTAGCCAGAAGCTAATAAACCTGAAGCTCTTCAAAGTCTACAGACTCCACCCAAACTATGCTGTTGAAAAGGTTGTTTTAACTGTTGGAGTCCTTGCTGGCATAACGCCTCTTGAATCATACGGCAGAAATTTTAGACAAGAAAATTCTGTAATCTACGACATGATTCTCGGACCTAATAACAGTTACTTTACAGTCGTGAAAATTGGTCATTGGTTAACGATGTTGGGTCAGAGATTTGGGTACAGACTCTGACCAGCAACATCATCTCAGGTTGAAAAATAATAATAATGTTGATGAGTTCGACTTTCAACCCTCTCTGTTCTGTAACGGATGAAACATCGGAGCTGAATTATTTCAATTTTGTTTAGAGCTCAAATAATATATTCTAACAGAAAAAAATATTTTAAAATGGTTTTGGCATTGAAATAATTTACAAATTTTCGAAACTTACATATACCGAACCGACAGAACGCAAACATAGCCGAGCATCTGTTGTCGAAAGTTCTTGGTAATCCTGATTCATCGATTGCACACACAGGTCCCGAGTCAAGGTCACACTCTTGGGCCAGACAGGCAGGCATGGCTCCAAAGGAAGGCGCTGTTTTGACAAATGTCAATCCTAAAATGAATGTGATTTTTATAAAAACAATGTATTTGATATAATTACTAATTCGAAGACAGTATTCGTGAGACATCTATTCCAAAATTCGATACAAAAAAGTTAAAGTTCCAGGCAAAGAAAATAACCGAAGAAGGTAACATTTATTTCATACAAAACACATAAATTCATAAAATTTCAAAGAATTGACTGTTTGTTGTGTAATTAAAGATAAGATCACTTCGATATATGAGTTTATTTTCAGAAGTAAAGCAGTAATTCTCTTTTCATTTAAACAGTTTTATCAAGCTTACTCTGTTTGTTTGGGTCAAATTTAGTAATTGAAGTTTGACCCCCTTCCTGTTGACAGATTCATCTGATATTCAGTACACACATTTAGTTTTGATGACAATACAATTCAATAAATTTTGTATCATCCAAGATGGCCGCAGCTACAAAATGGTAGAATACATCTTTTTTCACAACCATCTCAATATGGGTATTAAATGACAGAGTTCGACTAGTAGAATGGTAGTACACTTTGAAAAATATGCAAATTCAAGATGGCCGCATTCACAAAATGGTGGATTACATATTGTTTCACAACTACCTCAATATGGGTATCAAATGACAGGGCTTGACTAGTAGTACGTACACCATGAGAAAGAGGCAAATCCAATATCATTTATACAGAGAACTTTGTCAACTCAGAATCGGAATACAAGCATTGATCTTCCACCCAAGTCCAGATTTTGTATCGTATCGAGGACTGTGTGGCGTTAGGGTGGCTAAAAATAATACGTCGTTAGCGATACACCACCCAAGTAAAGGTTAAAAAATCTGTTAAAAATCTGTTGAAATCTGTTTTTCCGTCAATCTGCTGTTACCCCCCTACGAACAACAACTCTCAAATGTCAAAACTTGTGCCAGCTAACGACTAACGAGGTCTTACCTTCTAACGTGTGCTTCTTCGGCACATTTTAACCTTTTAATCTTCAAAAGGTTAAAAAGAGATGCTCTTCAATAATTTTTTTTGTTCAGTTTTCAAACACATTCGCAATGGAGTGTGAGAATTATGAAAAACGGGATATGTTTTATACAAACCTTGGAAAATGCGGAAGCAGCAAGCAATTTTTATCACGAGAGGTATCCAGAAAGAAAACCACCTTTCAAAGACATTTTCGCAAGATTGCGACACAACCGAATTGATGAGGGTCAATTTGAAAAGGAAAGGCAAATATCATATGAATCAAATAGGGATAACGAGTTGAAAGAAATGTTCTTTTAGGGAACTGTTGAAAATGATCCCAAATCGTCAACGTTCCAAAATCAACATGAAAAAACATAAAAGCTCTGTATTTCAAAGATGACTGTAGCGAAACATCGAGTGTGCTATTGAAAATGCGGAAATATATAGGGTGTCTCATCAAAAAATGATTTTCCATCAATAACTATCGATATCTCATTTTCACATCATTAAATTCCACGTAAAAAAGTGCTTTAGAAATGTTTTCATGGAAAAGGAAATTTTGACAGGAAAAAAGTCAAAGCAACTTTTCGAAAAACATGCTGTAACTTAAAGACGATGATAGATATCGAAATGCGGTTTTCATAATTAAGTTTATCATAAAATTGAACCCTCAGATACGGCCATCAGTTTTCATGTGTCTAGTTTGAAAACAGAAGTTTCCCTTTAAAACTGTCCAATTTGGTCCACTGTGTACATCACGCCCTGTGCACTATTACTCTTTGTATGATTATCTTGTGATTCAACATATTTAATACTGTTTTATTTTCTAGTAAATAAAATTTTGCTCTAATGATAACTGATTTCGTCTTTTCAAGGTTTCAGTTTATCATCAATCACACATCCGGTCTTTCATAAATTGTGAAATCTTTGATTTCGACAAATACTGAATCTCTATTCACTTAATCTGCAAATTCAGTGGAATTGAACGAAATTTGATTGACTAATCAAATGAGTACAAAAAATCAAGTACATCAATTTTATCTCACAAAATGAGAAAGATAATCTATCTGCATTGGAAACGGTTGATTCTTGTACTAAATATCATACCGAAAACTTAATAATGTCAATAATGATGAAGCTGATGTATTCCATCATTTTTCCTAGAATTGAACTTGTTATCATTCTATGAATAGTATACATTTTCAGTCAAATTATTACTTGTCGTCAAAATGGTTATGGCTTTCTCGGACGAGGTTTTCAGTGGAATATGGAATCTTATTCTAGTGAGTTCGAAACAGCATAACGGTAGGTACCGGTAGGTAGGTCAACGGATGTTATTGACAATTTTCCTATTCCAGGTGCAGGTATTATCACACCAGACTATACCTGAATCAACATTAACACGCTTTACAAAATTTACCTAAGGCAGGCTGTAGCACACCAAACTACCTGAGGAGTCGACATGAATACGAGTTACGCAGTCATAATATCAAGTTATCGGAGATATTATCTCAAAATGTGTAAACCTCTGAAGAAGTAAGCCACTCGCGCCAGCGAAATGTCAGGAAGAAATTTCAAAATATCCACGGCCTTCAAACCCGAAAAATAGTGATACTGAATACTAATGGAATTTATCAATTGCAAACCTTCTGTATAGATCTTCATATTCCAAATTATCATTTTTTTACTGGTAATTGACAAACAAACATTAATAATGAATTCCACGTATTCTATAATTTAGAACGTTGATTACTTCAAAGATTCGAGTATTACAGGTACTGGTTGAGAAGTTTGATTTTATAGAGACCATGATAATTGAACTCCCATATTTTTTAAGTGACAATGTTAATTCCACTGTTTTTTCAAGGCATATGATAAATCATATATGCTTTATGAGAATTTGGTTTAGCCTCTTTCAACTTCATTTCTATGAAGATACTCCCAATATATGAGTTCAACTGCTTGTGATATACACTTTCAAATTCCTTTTCAATAAAAACTTGGACAACTCTTGATATTTTGCGTGACTACGACTCAAAATTTTGTTCGACATAAACATTGACAGGTATTAATAGTTTCTTTTAAAATTCAATTATTGTCCCCACTCTGAATTCAAAGAATTAAACCTGTACCTATCTTATCATGGTGTGTACCTATGAGTTCTTCTCAAAATTACTAACGGTAAATTCACCATTTCTGTTATATTTCTAACATGAACACATTTTACACCCATAATACATCGACTAGCGAAGACTCTTAAATCATAATTTACTTAATATGTGTTTAAATTTGACAGTTGTTTGTTTAAATCATCAGTATGCACGAAACTTTTATCTGAACTACCTTTTCTGAAATTATTGCATTATTCTAAACAAATATCAGTGAATTTTCCCTTTCCCTTCAACTGATTTTTTTTACTGAATGTATCTTTGAGCTTCTGCACACACTATATATGTGCCCGATTTTTTTGCATTCTTAAAAAACACACCCAAATTTTTGTAAAACATCACTTCACGGACAAAAAATAAGCACTACAAGAAAATCGTTAAGGAGCGGTGGCTGTGCGAAAGTAGCGATTCACATTGGATTTGAATCCCTGGAGATAAAATCCATATGAAAAAACATTCTCAGGAATTTTATTCCATATATACGCAGTTCTGCAGATGAAAGAAAGAGTTATTAAACAGTGAAGTTCGAGGTGTACTGAGTTAAACCTCAAAACGATGGGCAGCCACAGCCCGTCGCGTATTTCTGATATGTACCGCTCTTGGTGGAATCAAATATGCCAAATCACTTGAACACTTCCCGTGAAGGTATATATAGAAAAGAGACAAATCTCAAGGCATTTCTTCGATGTTCCAGGCTATCAAGGTAACACGTGATGTTCGCGTCTCCAATCAGGCAAATGGTTCTTTTCTGGATGGAATCCAGCAACCTCAGGGTTGCTGTTTGGGGGCAGATCTCCATACATGAGAACAATACTCCGAAGAAAGTCTGATCTGAACTTTAGGAAGCATCAAAAGTTGAGGTGTGTACAGTATTCTGGTTCGGAACAGTGTTCCAAGCTTTTGAGAAGCAGCCTTTGCAATTTCAGCGAAATATTGTGCCAAGACATATTGGTGTCCATTTCAACCCCCAACAAACTTTTCGAAGCAAAAGGTGGAATTGTCTGACCTGACATTATTATATCCGGTTCGGAGACATTTATCTTCTTGGAGAAAAACGAGGCTTGGGTTTTGTGGTATTGAATTGAACCTGGTTACTTTCATCCCTATTCGAAATCACTTCTAGATTCTCATTGAGATATGCAACGTCCTGCTGCTTGTGAAGATGTGCCTCCGTAGCCGATGTCCCGAAATCCAAATGGAATGACGAGACAAGTGTGCTGTCGTTAGCAAAGCAATATATTGGATTATTGGTTTTCTCCAATAGGTCGTTGATATACAGTAAAAAGAGGGTTGGAGACAATATGGATTCCTGGGGAACACCAGCGTTGATTATGAAAGTATTCGAGAGAAAGATCTATCCATCCAGGGAACGTTCTTTCAGGAAGCTGAAGAGCCATATACAAAACATAGCATCGAAGTTTGGCCAGCAAACCCTTATACCACACACGGTGACAGTTTGTCCATAATTATTTTCTATTGACAGATTTTTGAAATCTACAAGTGGCTTTATATCTTAATTAGGTTCTGTGTTATAAACTCCGTTTTCAGTTCATCAAATATCTTCGGAAGGCGCCACAATTTTGATGATTTTTTTTCAAAGAGAATAATTCTTTTTTTTATGGACAAAACACAAGCACTGCAGAAAAATCCTCAAGGCGCTCTCAGAGCGGTGTCTGTGCAGATGTTGCGATTCACATTGGATTTGAATCGCTGGAGATTAAATCCATTTGAAAAAAAAAACGCCCCACAATCCGCCAAGTGGCGTAAAAAGCATTTTGTGAGACTGTTTTGGAAACAGATCAATTGCTACAAATGGTCCTGAAAACTGGCCTCCTCGTTCACCAGACATGACACCTCTAGTTTTTATTGTTTGGGATTTCTGAAAATTGAGGTGTACAAAATGAA